AGTTAATGAGTATAATTGGCAATCGCCATATTAATCACTTATCTAAAATATCTCTTTTTCTAATTTTGTTATGGAATGTGACTTCATATTCTAATAAAGTCACATTTCAATAAGACTTCTCCGTGTGAAATAAAACAGGGAGAAAAAAACAGCCCTTACTGAGTTTCTTGTCGGTTCTTCTCAGTACAAGGTCTCCCGCCGTAGTTTTGCGAACCGATCTAAGAAAATATATAGAAATAAAAAAAAAAGGCTTAACCCTCATCTCACAAAATATAAGAAGTATACATTGTAATTATGATGACTTTCAGGCGACCCTTTCTGAATTGAAATTTAACCCGGATGTGTTAATTTTAACTGAATGTTGGCTTAACCTTGACAAACCTTTACCTAATATGCTAAATTACACATCATTTTCAACGAAGTTAAATGCAAACCAGAATGATGGTGTAGTGACTTACGTCAACAATAGTCTCAAGGCAAAAATGAAAGAAGTGAAAATAGAACATGCGACTTGTATACAACTAAATATCAATGACCATACTATTTTGTGTATTTATCGTACGCCATCAAACTCGAATGCAATGAATTTCATTAAATCACTGAATACATACTTAGATATAATAAAGAACCACCGTAATATAATTATAATGGGTGACATAAATATAAACCTTATTCCAAAAGAAAACGATACATTAAATGACATTAACAACAGAAGTAATTACTTAAATATCTTATTGACGCACGGTATTATGTCTAGTCATTATTTCCCAACAAGAAAGGATAGTTGTTTGGATCACTGCTTGCTTAAATTAGAAAGGAAAAATGTTTCGGATGTAGCAATCCTAAGAACAACTACCACTGACCATTATACTATATTTATGAAATTATCAAGATTAAAACAAAATACTCGTTGCTCAAAAAGCAGAGAATATATTGATTATGATATGGCACATGATAAACTTTTGGAAAAAAATCTTTCTTCCTTACTATTTTGTAAAGATACTGACATGGTAGCTAAGCAATTGATCAAAAGCCTAACTGATTCTTTAAATGAAAGCAAGGTAATAAAAAATATACCTAAATGCCAGCGAAACATAAAGCCTTGGATTACACCGGGTATTATACGATGTATTAATAATAGAAATAAAATGCAAATGAAACTACGGTGTGAACCAGATAATGAGATTTTAAAAATTACCTTCACGAGATATCGTAATTATTGCAATAAATTATTAAAAAAAATTAAAAGAAAATATGAAAGGGATCAATTAAACAATACTGTAAAAAACTCAAAGTTGCTATGGAATACAATAAAAAGAATTACTTATCTAAATTCAGATAAAACAACAAATTTAGATTTACTAAACGTCAGAGCCACTCAACTTGAATCGATGAACTATTGTAACAATCACTTTGCAAATGTCGGAAAAAAACTCGCTGAAGATATTCTTCAAAGGAATTATATCACTCAAACTCCCAAAACTTCTTCGCTGACGCCAATGCGATCATCTATTGTTCTTTTAGAGACTGACTCCTATGAAGTCGACAATATTCTATCCAATCTGAAGTTAGACAGCGCACCTGGCTGGGATAATATTCCAACTAGTTTCCTCAAAATGACTAGACATATAGTTGTCCCCGTAATCAGCCATCTGGCAAATCTTTGTTTCCAAAATGGCATTTTTCCTACCTTTCTCAAAAAATCATTGGTTACACCAGTGTACAAGGGTGGAGAGAGAAACGATGTTAATAATTATATACCAATCTCTGTTCTGCCTGTCATTTCCAAAATAATTGAAAAATTAATGAATAACCGCCTAACTAAGTATTTAGACCGTTTTTCCATTTTGTCTGACAATCAGTTTGGTTTTAGGCAAGGCAAATCTACAGAAGATGCAGTCCTAAGTTTAACAAAATCAGTAACAGATTGTTTAGATAAAGGAAATAAATGCTTGACAATTTTTTTAGACCTCAAAAAAGCCTTCGACACCGTTTCTTTACCCATTCTTGTACAAAAATTAGAATGCATTGGAATAAGAGGAATTGCACTAGATCTCTTCAAGAATTATTTACATGACAGAAAACAAAGAGTTAAGATTGGTAATTATTTGAGCAGTGATACGACGGTTTCTTTTGGTGTCCCTCAAGGTAGCGTGCTAGGCCCTACCTTATTTCTTATATATATAAATGAATTAACTAATATGGATATTTACAACGGACGAGTACTTTCCTATACTGACGACACTGCATTAGTGTTTACGGGCTCGGATTGGAACTCGGTATTTAAAAGTGCCCAACTTGGACTAGAAAAGGTGACAAATTGGTTACAAGCTAACCTCCTTACGCTAAATATAGACAAAACTAATTATATGTGCTTCACCATAAATAACAGAACACAACCGAATAATGCTTTAACACTAAAAATACATGTATGTCATAAAAAATATAATCACATATGTGCATGCACTAGTATTGTCCGAGTCGAAAACACAAAATACTTGGGGGTAGTTCTGGATCAACATTTAAATTGGCACTCACATATTGAATCAATGAGCAATAGAGTGACAAAATTATCGTGGATTTTTAAGAAACTTAGATACGTTACTAACAAGGGGCTCATTAAACAAATTTATATCGCCTTGGGTCAATCGGTTATAGGATATTGTGTTCCGTTGTGGGGAGGCGCATGTAAGACAAAGCTTCTAGAATTAGAGCGGAGTCAGCGATGTCTCCTCAAAGTAATGTTTTTTAAGCCATTTGGTTTCCCTACAAAACAACTCTATGATTTTTGTCAGCTTCTTTCAGTTAGAAAATTATATATTCTTTTAGCAACTCTAAGACTTCACAAACATTTACCATATAATGTCAATATGATGAACAATAGGAGAAAAGAGAAGGTCGCTTATGTAAAAAAATTTAGAACAGCGTTTGCTAAACGTCAATTCATAATACAGTCCGCATATATGTACAATAAATTAAATAAGCATTTAAAAATTCATGACTTAAAGTTAAAACAATGTAAAGAGTTAATAGTGCAATGGCTAATTTCAAAATCATATGACGAAATTGAAAGATTTTGTAATAGCGTGTATTAGTTTCAACACACATAAATCACATATGTATATATGTGATTTATGTGTGCTGCTGTAGAATCTTTATATTAAAAACCAACACCAAAAAACACACACACACACACACACACAAACACACACACACACACACACACACACACACACACACACACACACACACACACACACACACACACACACATTCATGCACTCACATAATAATAATAACAAGAATTGTTAACTACACATTTTTAATGTAATCTACTATATTATCTCATTACATGTAAAATTTGTGTTTATATCTCAAGCCTCTTGTTATTTTCTGCTAAGGGCGAGCGAGACCTCCTGTAACAGGTATTCATGAATACCTACTAGAATGGTTTCAACCACAATTGTAATCATGAGAAATCGTATATGAAATAAATATTTTTTTCATTTTTTCATTCTAATAAAGTCACATTTCAATAAGACTTCTCCGTGTGAAATAAAACAGGGAGAAAAAAACAGCCCTTACTGAGTTTCTTGTCGGTTCTTCTCAGTACAAGGTCTCCCGCCGTAGTTTTGCGAACCGATAGCGTATAGGTCTACCAGATTCTCATGGCATTTAAAAAAATGAAAAAATGTGAATTTCATATTGCAACACTCATGTCACCCGTCAATCATTAAGTCACTTGGTTGTCATTCGTTGCTATAATTTTGTTGGTGTCGTAAATATTTCGTTATTTTATGAGAAAATGTCGAAAATACCTTTTAATCTCAAGCGAGGAATATTGTTTTCAATGTCTATGAAGCGTTTGGGTTGTAGATGGGGGGGAGAAGCACCCCCAGGCTTCAGGTATAAAGAATAAAACTAATAATAAAGTTTAACAATCTTTATTTTTGTTCTCAGGGGGTAGGTTAAGATATTCGCTCGTTATGGTTCTTGTTTCTATAATTACGAGGGGAGGACTTAGCTTTTAAGTTTTGCAAGGGGAATTAGTGAGGACTTCGCGGGTTCGGCGTCACGGGCCGGGCAGAGGCTGAGAAGGGTGTAGACCCGACGTCACCTCCGGTCAGCAGCACCGAAGGTCCACAAAGCTCAGGAGGACTGGAGTAGATGAAGAAGTAGAACTAGCACTAGCAGTAGAACTAGCAGTAGAACTAGCAGTAGAACTAACAGTAGAACTAGCAGTAGAAACCCTGTAACATAAATACAGCACTAAATAGAAGTTCAAAAAGTGCAGCTACCTGTGGCCTGGAAAAATTAAGTTAGCTGCATTTGCTATAGCTTCTGTAAAAATCTACCGGCTAAAAAAATATAAAAACGTGTGTTTCAAATGATATCAAAAATCATTTAGAATGAAGTTAAATAACAGATACTATGATAATAATCTGTAAGTTAAAAAAATACAATTACTAATATATTATATTATACGAGAATCGAACCCGTACTTCAAGTAAAATGAAAACACTAAGTGTTCCCTTTAAAATCATCTAAATTTCAAGGTTATCAAAATTATTTATAGCACAACCCGGGAATCGAACCTGAGATGGATACAAATCACGAATTGAAACTGAAATAACTAGTATTCGGACAATGTTTCGATTATATTTAATTATATATTTAATTTAGCAGACAAAATTAAATATGAAATCTGTAAGGTAGAAAAATAATAAAATGTTAATTTTGCATAATCTCAGAACTCCGTTCTGTTTCAATATATTGTTTTATGAATGTTATTACTTTAAGTATAGGAACAATTTTATAATACTTCTTTCCTTAAATATCTATTTCACCTTTATCGAAATAGAATAAAAATATTATCAAACATTAGGTTAAGAACTGGATTTTTACCTCAGTAATAATATTCAATGAACAATGAATAAACATTATAAAACAGCGAAACAGATTTAGAATTTAAAAGTTTCTTATTGGACTTGTGATTTTAAAAATAAAATACTCTAAGGTAATAAACTTATAAGCGAGCAGCAAAAATTAAATGAATAGAACACTCACCCGATTTCGGGGTTATTTAGCACTTACACACAATTTGAAATAATTAAATCACAATGAATCCATTGGACTCGCGAGAAGTCATTTTAAATACTATGCCACCACTATGAGCCGCGCTGCGCTCCTATGTCTGCCTACCTCCATAGTACAATTGTTAACATTGTACCTACAATTATTTTTAATTATATTTTTCTTTAAATTTATTTGTATTAAAAAAAGAATTCAAAACAAGGACAGTTTATTAAGTAAACTGTTACATCTACAATAAAATTCGCGAGGAGGAAGGTGAAAATCAAACACAATCTTCGATTTTAAAGCGCGTCGTAGCTTTGACCGGTAAGTTGAACTGAGTAGTATTGATACATTTTATATTTTTTTATAATATTAACTTATATCAAAGATGTTTTTTAAAGGAAACTTAATGATTATGTATTAAATAGATTTTGATGCATTTTAGGTGTTTCTAGTATCACTGTACGACGAATCATACGTGTAGCACATCAAATGGTGGTGTATTTTCTACACCCGGTACTTTTTACCGGGGGAAAGAGAAGAGGGGGAAAGAAAAGAATTAATTTAGATAGATTTGATTAGGAACAAAGTTAAAGAATTCTATACAGTACGAAAAGAAATTCCAACAGTAATGAAAATTTTACAAATTCTTCGTACTGATATTAACATCGAAGGAGGGAGGGAATCTTTAAGGTGAACAATATCACAATATCTGTAAAATACAAATTATGTATAATAATTAATGTATTGTCTGAATAATATATATTTTATATACATAAATATCGTCATCAGCCTATTGTAGTCCACTACTGGACGTAGGCCTCCCAAGGGCATGCCCATTTGGGGGTTTTTTAATGTTTTAGTATGGTTTCCCCACTGTTAAGCACTTTTATGTTTTTTTTGCTTGTATTATTTTTATGTTTTAACATAAGGTATGTTTTACCTTACTCGGGATTTATCTTTTTTATCCCTTATTTTTCATTTCTTATACATACTATACATATTTTCTTACTTCTATTAATTTTATATTTTTTTTTGGTATCTTATTTAATTAACATTTCCATCTTAACATTTCCATCTTAACATTTCTGTATTTATCTATATATCTATTGTTTTTATTTATAATATAAAGAGAATAGATTTGTTTGTTTATTCGGTAGTTTTAAATGGATAAACTCAAAAACTGTAGTGTAATAGTGTGAATCAATCGAAGTTTATGTACCAACTCCAAATCGGTTAAAGCTAGTGTATGTACATACGTACAAAATCAAAATTTCCATATTCCTATTACAATTTAAATAATTAATAATATTATAAGTATCAAGATCATTAACTTCAATTTCCTTGGTGTGGCATACATCATCATCATCATCATCATCATCAGCCGGAAGACGTCCACTGCTGAACATAGACCTCCCCCTTTGAACGCCACGATGGACGACATTGCGCCAGCTGCATCCAGTGGCCGCCCGCGACTCGGACGATGTCGTCCGTCCATCTAGTCGGGGGTCGACCCACGCTGCGTCTTCCGGTTCGTGGTCTCCACTCGAGAACCTTTCGTCCCCATCGATTATCGGTTCGTCGAGCGATGTGGCCTGCCCACTGCCACTTCAGCTTACAAACTTTTCGAGCTATGTCGGTCACTCTAGTTCTTTGGTGAATATCCACGTTTCGGATCCTATCGCGCAAAGAAACCCCTAACATAGCTCTCTCCATGTCTCGCTGAGCGACTCTGAGCTTCTCTAAGAGGCCAGCAGTTAAGGACCACGTTTCGGTGCCATAGATCATCACTGGCAACACACACTGGTTATACACCTTCGTCTTTAGGCACTGTGGTAATTTGGACGTGAAGATATCGCGTAGCTGCCCAGCCGAGTTGGATTCTTCGAGCGACCTATTTGTCGAAATTGGATCTATCTAACTGGATTGTCTGTCCAAGGTACACGTAGTGATCGACAACTTCGAGAGTATCAGTTCCAATGACTACCGGTACGGGTGCAACATGGACATTCGACATGATTTTCGTCTTGTTCATGTTCATTTTAAGACCCACCTGTTTGGAAACGATACTCAGGTCGCTGAGCATTGTACTGATGTGCTCCATCGATCTTGCCAAGATGACTATATCATCGGCGAAACGAAGGTGAGTGATGTATTCGCCATTGATGTTGATGCCGTATTCGTCCCATTCCAAGAGCTTGAAGACGTCCTCCAATGCATTCGTGAACAGTTTCGGAGAAATGACATCTCCCTGTCTCACGCCTCTGCGCAATTGGATTGGTTTCGTGCTCTCTTCCTGGTAGCGAATCGACATTGTGGCGTTGCTATACAAACGCTTCAACACTTCGACGTATCTGTAGTCGATTTGGCATCGCTGGAGGGACTGCAGTACTGCCCAGGTTTCGATTGAATCGAAGGCTTTCTCATAGTCCACAAACGCTAAGCAAAGTGGCAGATTATACTCCTCGGTCTTCTGTATAATCTGCCGCAGCGTATGTGGTCTATGGTGCTAAAGCCTTTTCGGAAACCGGCTTGTTCGGGAGGCTGGAAGTCATCAAACCGGCGTTCGAGACGATTCGTAATGACCCTCGAAAACAGCTTATAAACGTGGCTCAGAAGCGAGATTGGTCTATAATTCTTCAACAAGGTCTTGTCACCTTTTTTGAAGAAGAGCACAACCACGCTTCTGTGCCACGCTTCTGGCGTCGTACCCTCGAGAATGACGGAATTGAACAATTTCTGGAGGACTAAGAGTACCGGTTTTCCACCCGCTCGCAAAAGTTCAGTAGTGATTCCGTCATCCCCCGCTGCCTTGTTGTTCTTGAGCTGTTTGAGTGCCAATCTCGTACAGGCAGATGTCTGGGATATCCTCGGTTTAATGTCGGGTCAGCTTTGCTCTGGTGTCCTGAGCATTGCTTCCAACGGGTTGTTGTGATGATGTGTACAACTGTCCATAAAACCTCTCAAGCTCAATCAGAATCACCGGTTTTGAAGATATGATCCTGCCGTCGTCGATCTTCAGCTTCGTCATCTGACTCGACCCAGCAGACAAATTTCGTGCAAACACTTTGGAGCCTTGGTTCCGCTCTATTGCCTCCCTAATACGTGTAGTATTATAGGAGCGCAGATCGCGTCGCATCGATTTGGAAATTCGTCTGTTAAGTCGACCATATTCCGACATATCGGTTGAAGATTGCAGTCTCATATCTCTCCGGTCCACCATCAACTTGAGCGTTTCGTCTGAGAGCTTTTGAGATTTAATACGGCATGGGGCCTTATAGAACTTAGGCCCCACAGCTTGGACTGTTTCTACAAACCCGTTGTTTATTTCGTCCACAGACTCGCATTCAGCTACATAGACACTGAAAGCGATTGTGTAGTTGGAGTTGGAAGGCTTCGGGGTCCACGATATGAGCAGCACTAGGACGGAGCGTAGACTTCATCAGACGTGATCTTTCGAGCTTAATATTGATATTCAATGTGCCTCTAACGATTCGGTGATCGCTACCGGTTTTCACCCTGCTGATCACGGAGACATCATTGAATATGTGCTTTCTAGTTGTCATGATGAAGTCGATCTCATTTTTTGTCGAACCATCAGGGCTCATCCAGGTCCACTTCCTGGAGGGTCTCTTCTGGAAGAAGGAGTTCATCGCAAAGAGTCCCTCCTTCTCCATGAAATCGACCAGCTTCTGGCCCCGGTGGTTACGCCGCCCATACCCAAATCGACCCACCCTCAACTCATCGCCGTTCGAAGCGCCCAGCTTCGCGTTAAAGTCCCCCATTACAACGGTGAAGTAGGTATTAGTCGTATGTATGGCTTCAGAAATCTCCTCATACATAGCCTCTGCCTCTACCGTCGGATGTGAAGAGGTCGGGGCGTAAACCTGTATGACCTTCAGCGAATACCTTTCGGTAATTCTGAGTATAAGGTACGCCACTCTGCTCGACACACTATCGATCTTCACCACGTTGTTCACGAGGGACTTGTGGACGAGAAACCCAACACCACCTTGAGATTTTTGATCTCCTTCCTGGAAGAAGAGCATGTTACCGGACTCAAGGATTACCGTATCCTGGCCCTCTCTTCGGATTTCGGATAATCCCACTATGTCCCATCGCAACTTGCTCAATTCTTCCTCCAGCTCTAATAACTTCACGTCAGTCCTCAGTGTGCAGACATTGTATGTTGCCAGGGCCAGAGTCCGTTTGTGTTGGTAGCGCCGAATCTGCCGGGGATTCTTAGCACCCCTTGCCCCTCCGTTACCTGTCCCGCTACCAGAGACAGGAATAGAGGGGCTGCCGGGGACTGGGGGCCATAGATCATTGTCGTCCATCATGTTGGGGGGGGGGTTGCCATAATCCCCACGCTTGGCAGGCGACTTGGGGATCGCAGTAGGTGGTGATAGGTGATACCGGGAGGCGCTGCTGCCCGCCTTCCGTATAATCCCTCAGTCGGCTCCTACGACACCCACGGGAGGATATGGGGGGGAGCTACTCTTAGGCCGGCACCCCACGGCACGGTGTGGCATACATCAAATTTTAATTTCCCTTTTTGCCATGAGATTCTGGTAGGCCTAAAGTTTTCGACTTTCTTAGAGCACTTCCTCTTAAAAAACCTAAACAGAATAAATAATGAAAAAGAGCGTCAAAATTATCTATTAATTACATACTTGCGACCTATTACGATTAATGTACAACTTAATATTGCACCTCGGCTGCTTAGCATTCGTAAATTAGAGGTGGAATAACTTGATAAAAAAGCTAATTAAAGTTAAAAGTTTTTTTCACAGTGATAGCCTCTGAATTAGGCAAACCATTTACAATTTATTAATCTAAATGACTCATCTAATACAAGTTTCTTTTTTATATACCGTATCTCATGTTATAAAGAAATGTAGTTTATCTTTAATTTTAATATTTTTTCATAATAAATTTGAAATAAGTGAAATTGGTCTAGTTGTAAAAAAAGAATGAAAGGAACGAAAAGATATTTTTTACAAAGAAAGTTTTATAAACACACATCACCTAATCAGTTACTTTAAACATAAAAATATAGTTTTCTTATTTTTAATTACATCTTATTTGGACTTTATTTGATGACATAAAGACAAGTCATATAATGGAACTAGTTACGACACTAGTTTAGAGTTAGTCCTTAAGCAGCTTTACAATTAAGAATATCATCACACACTCACGGCCGGTTGCTGAATAGAGAAATAAGAATATCTCAACTGATTATTCTCAATAACTTCGGTTTTTTACATTTCATAGGGCAAAAAGTTCTAGTTTACTGTCTAACTTCAAATTCTCACATTAGAAATTGGTTGATAGAGAATTAAACCAATGTTAAAAAGTCATAGAGTTTCCATACATTAAAAGCGTTGCGCTCGAAGCTGATTTTATTACAGACTATTTTCTATTCTGGTCACTACCTCGAAAACTATATTTAACGGACGAGTTTAATTATTAGGCTGATACGCACGTTGACCACAGTCAGTTAAACATAGTCGAGGTTAATATTACTGCGAAGAAAAATATTTTGGTTATAGAAACTTTTTGAAACACATAGAGACTTATTTTAAGACTTTTTAATTATTTCACTCAGTGTTTGTGCCAGTTTAAGAGTATTCGATTATTTACAATTCAAGATGATTTTAACCCTGTGCTGCATTGCTTTTACCCTTTGGGTAATCGCGTTCCGTTATAGAAGGCGGCAGGTTTACAAACTGGCTTCAAAAATACCACCACCGACAAAAGAGATGCCCGTTATTGGAATTGCTCATACGCTTATAGGAGATACTGAAGGTTTGTTAAATATAATAAGATATATATAATTACTATAAACTAGCTTCCTGCCAGGGCTTCGTCTGAGTGTTCTCTAAGGAACCGTGTAGATTCACAGGCTTATAATTATTATATATGGCCAGTAGTTTTTGCGTAGCCGACTGATTCAAGAGAAAGATTTATAGGTATAATACAGGAAACCGCAGGTGAAGTCGCTGGCGGAAAGCTAGTAATATATTAAAAGCTAGTATAGTATGCACAAGATTTCGGGGGAGATAAATTGATCTAGCTAGGATTTATTAACTTAAACCAAAAATACGAGTAACGCTTGGTCATCCACGTACTTAGTAAGATGTGTAAGTTATATATTTTAATAGATTATTAAGTTCAAAAATATTCTATAGGGTTAGCTCGCAAAAAGTAATATTTTTTTAATAATTTAGTTCCGTTTATAAAATACACAATATTTACAAAGGTCTTATCATTTACGTCATATTTAAATATTTTCTCATTTATGTATTTATATTAATATGTAGTATTAAGAAAAGGTTATGTTGAATTAAATCGGTCACGATTCATGATTCATGAAATAAGAATTATTTTCTTATTTTTATTAACAATAGGGATATCATAAGTAGCAACATATATAAATAGTATGGTAGTGACTTGCTTAAAAACATCTTTTTTTGCTATCCCGATGTTAGTAGGTTAAAAAAGAGAGGGAAAGAACGTGAATATGATTAATCTACCACAAAATTATTGCACTGATTATAAATCTGAGTATAAAAGGCAAAGATAAACAATAGAATTTATGAATGCTCAGCTCAAAGTACTGAATGGATCGAGTTGAAATTTATCACAGTATTAGACGATAAATACATAGTAATGAGGTCATAGAATTTTGTTGAGAAAGATTTTCAAATATCCAATGCGTTCACCTTAAGATTTGTAGGAAATAACCACTTTTCACTTTTTAAACAAAAAATAAATTTCAATATTGGCTCGATCGAAAAAAATCGCAAAGATGACTCTAAATACGTTTTTTGGATCCATTTTATTATAAAAAAACCTTTTATATATTTGATATAAAATAAAAATACAAAAGATTTTTTATAACTGTATTTTTTCTGTGATTTCTTGTGAAAAATGTATGAGATTAAGTGAGCTGCGGAGGGTAATGTTTTAAGAGGGCCTTAAGGCTAAATATCCGCGTGAAGAAGGCAAAAGAGAGGGTATACATTTTAAACTATGTTTTATACAATGTATATATTAATATCTGCTACTAGTTAACTACACTATCATCACCAGCCTATCAATGAACCCAGTGCTGAGCTCAGGCCTTCCCTATCAATCGAATCGAATGGGGAGAATGGGCCATGACCAGCCGCACGGGCCCAGTGCGGATTGGTAGGTTTTGACAGCACATACAAACGGGACGGAGGCATTCGAGATGATAAATTTCTGGTCACCCATCCTACGACCGGTCATTGCTGAACAACCGTATCGCAGACCGAGCGCGCTAGGCTCGTCGCTATCGAGCTCCTCAACTAGTTTACTTATAACTTGTTATTACCGATTTTTTACTTATCGTAAAAAATATCTGTTACTTTCGCAAATAGATGTCAATGATTAGAGTATTAAATAAGAACCGGTACAGTGTGCAAGTGAGCGTTATAATATCTTATATGCAATGACGTGGCAGAACTGACCTTATAATCATGTGACATACTCGTAATAAACATAAATAACTCAAGGGCGATAGTATTTTGTTTTTAAAACGAAAAACAAGTTTATAATTATATTTGTTAAATTTTGCATTCATAATGCTATACTGATATTTATCTTAAATTCTTTGTTATTATCATTTTTAGGGTTCCGTAATAAACAAGGAACCCTCATAGTTTCGCCGTGTCCGTCTTACCGTCCATCCGTCTGCGGGTTAGCTCAAAAACTATTGTTACTAGAAAGTTGTAATTTTATATGGGTATACACGTTAATAAAGCCGAGAAAGTGGTCAAGAAACCTCCCCTACGTAAAAAGTGGGCATGATATTTTTTTTTTCATCTTCCCCATATTGTGGGGCATCGTTGGATAGATCTTTGAAAAACATTGGAGTGTGGGAAGGGCGTTTTTTGACTAAGTAAATCGTTTTTGACTCGTTAAGCTTTAAATAAGTCACAAACATCGTTATCGTTCGTAAAACTTCAAGCGTTACGGCACTAGTACCTATATATAACGAAGTTAAAAGGAAAACTATCACACTCAAATTGACTTTACAAGTTTACGCATAATAGTCGACTAATGCCCATTTTCACTAACCTAGAACAAGGCATAACTAAAAATCACTTAATATTAAGAATAGCGTAAGCAGATTTGTCGTTTCACCAATCCGTAACGTAAGGTAATGCCTTACTAAGCACTTGTTTAGTTATGCATCGTTTGCCTATTGGCATATTTGACATTGGCGAATTGACACAAATCCGTCAATGTCATGTTAGTGGCCTTTTCACTTAAAGAGACAATAACAGAAATATATATTTTGAGGTAACAAAATAAGAAAAAATGTACGTGGTCTTTTACACGAGCACCCAAGTCGGCAATGTATGTATATTTATAAAAAGTTCTAAAATTCAAAAAATCTCATTGTTTTTAACTTAATTCTAATATAAATTCCTTGATTCCAACTTATTTATATATGTTATGATATATATCTTAATAGCTAAATTCTATTTTACTTGCCTATATATCTCAATTTAAATTGCGCTGTGTTTGCTTTGTTTTTAAAATTTCTTTAATCTGGAAGAAATTTTTTTTAAGAAATTCGTTACACTGTCTCCCAACGTGGTGCAACAAATATATTCTGACTGTCGTATCTTTGTTTAAGAGGATAACAAAGTCTTACACTCGTATCTATCTATAGTCGAGAGAAGTTATTGGTCACTATTTTTATCAACGACATATCCGAGTGCTTTCAACATTCTAGAGCTTTTATGTATGCCGATGACTTAAAGCTAGTTTCGAATTGTGAAACCGTTGATGATATGAAGTTAATACCGGGTGACATAAACCGGCTAGTCAAATGGAGTCAATTCAGTGATTTGGATTCAAATATTGATAAATGTTACCACATGAAGTACTTTAGAAATAATGTGTCTTTTAATACTAAATATAAAATAGGTTCTGAAAGGATAAAAAACATCGACGAAATAAAAGACTTGGGGGTTGTTCGTTACATACATGCATGTGATGCATCTTTTTTACAATCTTTAATACGTATGTTTAATGTGTAACCGAATGTTGGTAAACCATATAATAAATAAATAAAAGTAAAATGTCATAACTTAATCAAATATTTGATTAAAGTAACAATTGTTAATAACTAATAATAATCAGAGAGCCGGCCTACTCTGTTCGTCGACGAACGAAATTTCGAATAATTTTGAATCGTTCTTACAATTTTGTTAAAATCATATATATCTGTGAAGATTTTCTGTGGATCAGAAGAAGTGCCATGTCCTATAACCGTTGCATCATCAAATGAGCGATCAATTATTATTTTTTTTTTAGTTATATAAGCGTTTCGAAAATAAAAGAAATTTCGTTTTCATAGAAACAAACTTCTTACTTCATTACAATTCTTCTTCATTTGGTAAAAATATCTGCTTAAATTATGACATATTCTCAAGTAATTACTCTTCTCGACTATAGATACGAGTGTTAGCGATTGGATAAAAAATATCGGATACATTTAAGTTGTTTTTTCAGATATAATGAACAAGCTTAAGGATTATAGTTACGCAGCGATGGAACATCAGGGCATTGTCAGAGGATGGCTTAATCACATATTATATTTCTGTGAGTATTTTATTATATATTTATAATTTCAGAATTGCCATGTAAAAAATAAGTTAAATTTGAGATTTATTTTGATAATAGCGTTAATAATGATGCTTATGTAAAGAATGAATATTACCTATAAAACTAAAATTATAAATCAAAAGCTATTTTCCCGCAACTTCGCACGCCTATATTATAGCTTATGTCGACCCTTTATGATGTAGTTCTACCCGTAGGTGAAAGAATTTTTAAAATCGGTCCGGTAGTTCTGGATAGGTGTCACAAACCGGGATCCCGGATACTGAAAATACCGGGATACCGGACCAAATATAGGTCTTAAAAGTGCCGGTTTTTTATTTCACTAAAAACGGTACTTTCGATATTTTAGGTTTTTAGTAAAATAAAACACTGATATGATAAAACAAAGTTGCGCGCAATTTAATTCAAGAACCTGTGAGAGATCCAAAGGTTTTATGCATAACGACGTAAAATACACGCAACGCGTATCTACCCCGAAATTACTAAGTTTTGTAGTGTATGAAGTTGATGTAAATCTTACCGATTCTATTTTTTACTGTCCTATTCTTGTAAAATTTTTAGTCTTGCTATCTACTCATATATAGGGTAAGTTTGACCACGATCTCAGATACGGTATATTCCAAAAAACTATTAAGAAAAGCGCAGAGAGATAGACCGTTTTTTTTGCATTTGATTAGGTAAGTATATGTAAACATAGGTATTGCAGTTTGTAATTTGTGTGTAAGTAAAATAATTACGAACATAACTTGACATTAAATAAATTCGATCCAATCGATTAAAAATGGTTTTATTTCGAAAATAATTATTTGCCATTTCTCTGCCATTCTGGTACCTAACTTACCTGTAAAGTTACAATACATGTAAGAAAATGCAATAATAGATTAGTGATCCTATTCAAATTCCGAAAACCCCGAAAATAACGGAATACCGTGATTTATCTGGAGTAAGTATCTAAAATACCGGTATCGCAAAGATGGTACGACATTGCGACCCCGAGTTCTGGAGCCTGTTCGATGCAAACAAACAATCAGAACCTACCTCATTATAAAAGTATATATTGTTGTTCATAGACACATAATTCATCATCTCACTATTATTTTTGTTAACAGTGATTGTAGACCCAGTTGATATTGAAATGGTGTTGAAAACATGTATGGAGAAAGATGATCTGCACAGATTCTTCAGAAATGTCATTGGCAACGGTGGTATCTTCGCTCCAGGTAAATGCCGTTCAGTGTTATATTCTTCGTTCTGGAACGTACTATCAAACTCAACTTATAAATTGTACAAATTAACATAACACTTGAGGACCTGTGTCCTCGAATGAGAAATCGGAAAACTTTTTTGTTAAAATCATATATCCCTGAATATTATCTGTGCACCAGAGCCAGTATAAGATCCTACCTTCGTAGCATCATAAATGATCGAAAATGCGTTTTTTTTTTTTTTGAAGTCGTATTAGCATTTTGAAAATAGGAGGTTTAAGACACAGCGCTTATTTTTTATTTTTTTAGAGCCGGGTTTCGCAGTATACGCGTTTATGGCAAACGGAGAAAGGAGTCTTGCCGCTTAACGGAATATTTATGTTTTTTTTTAATTATTACAAGATTCATTAGCTCATTTGCTAGTTTAACTAATAAGGGGTTACACTTTGACATTGATTAAGATCGTTTAGCGTTCGGATAATGTCTCACGCAACAATTCTGTTAAGACCGAGATTTTTTATCGCTAGAAAATGCATTACTGCATACTCGTTTCCCCAGCACAGGGTGGCCGGTTTATATGGGGTCTCTGTCCCTCTGTGGATTGGGGTACGATTCAGGAACATTTGACTCATACCCCAGGACGCGCTATGCCCAATCAGCTATCCCTAGCGAAGAACCGGAGTTAAGGGAAAGCCTCAAATATACTATTACGTACTACAAACTGAACACCTCGAATCGAATTAAAGACCAGTCATTGACATTAACAATAAAATATATTATTGTCCCCAGTAAGCATTTGGAGGAGACGTAGGAAAATATTGGTGCCTGCCTTCAGTCCGAAAATTGTTGAGAGCTTCGTAGATATATTCGCAGAGCAGACAGAGGTGATGACAAACAAACTCAATGAGCAAACTAAAAAGGGCAATTTCAGCGTTTGGCCATTTATTAGCACTTATACACTGGATTCAGTTTCACGTGAGTACCTACTTATTAATTCCTAGCCGCGACTTCGCCCGCATAAAAGCTTATACTCACTGCAGAATGAAGTAACTTTCACTATGTGATAAAAATTTCATGATCCCATCAGTATTTCCGAAGATTACCCTCTACAAACAATCAAAGTTAGAAATTGTACCTCCTTTTAATATCATTGTAGTAAACCAGATGCCAAATTATTAAACTCAATTTTCGATATATCGCGAACTTCATAGTGCTCCGTTCCACTCGTAGCCTTAAAAAAGACCATAAGTAGAATAGACCAACGAAACAGTCCACGATATACTGAATGTCGATTTTAAGAGTGATGTCTGAAAAATCACGATCAAAAAATTGAATATGAAAAAGTCCACGATATAGGTACAGACCCTCGATTTTAAGAGTCATAAATTAAATCACACTTAAATTACTTTTTAAAAATATGAAAATATTTTCGTCCATAATTAGGCGTGAGAACTCATGGCGATGTATGCTGTTAATATAAAAAGGACATAAAGAGCTTTAGGGTTAAATTACATCTGGTAAGCACGGTATGACCATTTTCTGTCGTCCTATTCTTTTCTATCGCTCAAGATCGCCATTTAATAGAGCGAGAATTATAGCGAGCGTGCGAAAAATTCATTTAAAAATTTCTAAACATGACATGAAATAAACGCCTTTAATTATTATTTTTCTTTTTTATTTATTACTTGTCCATTTTTAACTAGTCTTACCCATTAAAATTCTTTTTTTTTTTAATTAGAAACGGCAATGGGAGTAAAGGTACACGCACAAAGTAACCCTAAATCCCCGTTCTTGTTATCAATGACTCGGATACTAAATTTGACATGCCAAAGAATATTCCATCTGTGGCTTCAACCCGATTGGATTTACAAGTTCTTCCCACAATATACAGAGCACCAAGCTTGTTTGAAACAAATGCACGACTTCACTGATGAGGTACAAAAATATTGTATTATTAATTGTCCTTACTTAGTCAATGTTACTAATAAACAAACTTTAGTGTCAGAGTAAATTTACGCTAAGATTGTGTGCTTAGTATTAGTTAAATTTACATTACTAAACAGACACTTATATTAATAGCTAGTTGATACGGGAGTAAAATTTACCACTAGAAGGTGTAATCTCTGTTTTTTATGTGAATTTTGACAAATACTAAGTGTTAAAATTTAGGGTTAATTTACTCCGACGCTAAGCCTTGTCTATTAATAACATCAAATGTATTTTCATTCAGATAATAAAATTCAAAGTATATTTGTAATCTATAAGTATATTTCGTCTCTTTTAAATTATATGATATCATTAAGGCCTTATTTGAAATACACTCATCCGTATAAATTGAATGTTTTTAATTATTCATTTTTCATTATAATTCAAGGTTATTAGAAAAAAACGCGATGAATTAAGGATTGAATCACAAAACAAAAGTGAAGTAGACATTGCTTACGGTAAGAAATTTTAAAAATTTGCTTTTAATGAATACGCTTCGAATTGAATTACTTTCGGTGAATAAGAAAATATTAGTTGTTGCCTATGGCGATGATGCTATAAATTATTTCCATGTTTAAACTGGATTAGAATGCTTAAACTTTTTTTATTATTTATTTGAGAAACAAATAGTTATATAAATTACATGAGCACAAATCTCCTACAGTTCCTTATTTTACACATAAACACATTTAAATAATTCATTAACACAAAATACTAGTCATTATTCTATTTTTAATAAAATAGAAATAATTATAATATACCTAATATACCAACTTTACCGCCAGACCAGTCATTGTTTATTTATATAGATTTGATTGCCTTGATTGTGCCGGTTAGAGACTAAATAAAAATTATTGTATGTTTTCAAAACAGAAAATTTAAGCTAGAACAATATCTTCAAGTTTCTGTCCCCACTGTAATAATCTGGATAGATTCACATAGGGAGTGTTTATTTTTTCATTTACTCGACTGGGAATCGAAAATAAAAAATTGTTGCCATCTAAATATAACTTTTCCATCCGATGAACAAAATTAAATTTCTTTGCTAAAGTTTCTTAACTTCTGCAATTGCAGATCAGACGTGCTAACATTAATATTACGATTAATAAAAATATATTTCTTATAATATTCTGTGCGTTTCAGGTCTGGACGATTACAAGAAAAAAACTTTTCTCGATCACCTTATTACGCTCTCGAGCAAAACAGACAAAGGTTATACGGATAGGGAGTTGAGAGAGGAAGTGCTGACCCTAACCATAGCTGGAACGGACACATCTGCTGTTGCTATATGTTACACCTTGAAGATGCTGGCCAAATATCCAGACGTACAACAGAGAGTTTATGAAGAGTAAGTGGTGTTTTTAGAAGCTTCTATTTAATTTTTAGTGTATATTCATCAACTCTTGCAACTGGATTATGAAAAACAGTTAAATGCTACCGATTTAGCTAAAATTATGAATATAGTTTATTTTACACGACAGCAAATGCTAAACTAAATTACATCGTTTTAAATTTAATATGGCAGATGTCCCTAGATGGTTATTTAATCCTTTGTGAAAAGATTCTAAGTTCAATATGGCGTACTAGTTATTAGAAGGGTGTCAATAAGTGATTGGTATTCTGCCACATTTTCGTGTTCCGTATTTCAAAAGAAAAATAGTAGAACGCACTCACTTCTCTGTTCATCACTATCATTGACTGGTTTTCGTAAATGTAATGAGAAGTTTTGTGCTATAAATCTTCTTAAAGACGTTGAGGAAAAACTTAGATGGCTGTAATTAAATCCTGGCGTTAACCAACTCATAACATAAACATATTTACCACGAAAGGTTAAAACAATATCGCCTGTTATGGAATATAATAAACAAATCATTCATAATCATAATTAAGTTTCGAAACGTTGTCATAAAACATTAAAAATCGTATTATGACAAATACAATTTCAAATTATAGCTTAATAAATGAAATCAAATAGCGTTTATCGACCCTTACAATTACATAGTAATAACAAAAAGGAAATTGTCTTTGAGCGCATTAGTTTGTCGACATTCTTTCTCCGATTGATAAATAAATTTATAAAAGACTAGCTTTTGTCCGTGACTTCGTACGCTTGGTATAGTTACTTTGGGCAGTATTTCTAAAAACGCCAAAACAAATACTTATTTATTCATTATATCGTGTAAAATACCTCATGATTTTATCTTGGACATTAACGACTTCCATAGAAACTTTCATTCCCCATGTCAACTCTTTTATCACAATAAAAAGCTACCTACTTATATCTTATGTCCAGATATATATACACAGACCTACTTTGGCATGTATAATATTAGTATGGAAAGTTTAAACACAGAAGATTGCCTAAACATTGATGAAAATACGCTCTGTAGTAACGAAAAATCATAAAAACCGGATGAAGCCCCCATGTCATCTCCATGACGATCGGTCCCGGCGATCCTGATTACATCTACAGTTAGAAAATGGAAGAAAACGGTACGTACGTTTTCTAGTCTATGGTTGCTACTCGAGGACTTTACTGCCTAAACAACCCAGATAATTATTGGGGCAGTAAAGTCCTATAAGCTTTGTGCTCGGCCCATTGCCACTTCAGATTTCCAATTCTTTGGGCTGTATCGATTACTTACTTTGGTTCGTCTACGAATCTCCTCATTTCTGATCTGAATCTGAACTTTGGGCCTATTTATGAGGCTCCTAGTTAGCAACCACTTCTGAGTGTTATAAGACATCACCAGCTAAAAATCTTTGTTTAGAGACACTACGATACTCGAAATGACACTTTGGAATTTCCCGACCGCTGCCCAACCGAGTTATGTAGATTCGACGGTTGTCGACTTTCTCAAAATTGGACTAGGTATGTCCAATTATAATAATGATCAACAACTTCCGAGAGTCGGGTTCACGAGTGTTTCGGGAGTAGTTATAACATAGACAATAGATGTAAGCTTCATCGTGTACATATTCATTTTGAGACAAACTTCTTGAAAAGCTCTCCCATAGGAAGGCCTGATTTCGAGCATTGTGTCAAGCTACTAACTATACACGCTCGTTCGTGTTCTAACTAGTAAACTAGGTAGTGGTATTATTGCGTTATACTAATATTAGGGCTCCGGATCAAATCTATAATTACCTACAGCAAACATTTATGTTACTATAATTTTAAAAATATTTGAGTAAAAGCCACAAAGAAATTTGAAGTAACGCAGATGGGTATTGTACATCGATATGTTTCAGTGCTTAATCTCTGCAAACCTTAAAGCTATATATCCAATTTGAATTACAGATGAAAAATTAATTGAAAACTGAAACGCAAAATTCTTTGAACACAACGATAATACAGTTTAGTTACGGATAAACGCCATCTAGTATAGCAAAGTTAAAAATTTTCACTATCTACCTAGTATTATTTTAAAGCCCATGACAATGCTATGTAAATATACTAAACGCCATTCAGTGTAGCCTAAAAAGATATAAAATATTTTTCTTTCGTATCTAAAATTATTTGTACTTGAATAGTTTCAAAAAGTTTAATCTAAAATGTTATTTTTGTTATAAATAATATAAGTACCCAAATACCAATTTTCATCACTACATAAGGAAATCTTTAAAACCGATATGTTGCCATTTTCATTCCTTTAAGTGCTGGTTTTCGGGATAAAATATTACAAATTCCAATACAAAGGGTCTTAAAGTACTCAAATACCAATTTTCATCGATATAGTTCCAAAAACAAAGAAGTTTCATACAAACAACCCTTTTTAACTACCTTTGAGGTGGAATTTCCCAAAACACTCACTCAAGTCTCTACAACCAGTGGTTTAGACTGTATGTTTGTCTGTCAGTTAGTATGTCAGGACATCTTCTTTTTTATATGTATAGATAATATAAGCTTCAATATTTAGAAGTTAAGTCCGCCGTTTGTATTTAATGCAATAAAGATAAAAATTAAATTTTTATATTGGCTGTAAAATTTTTCATACTTTCATTAAGTAATCTAATGTCATGTTGCTTTGTGTATACACAAATCTTACGTTCAAATAAAAAAAAATCAAACAAAAATATGACCTTCACTATCAAACATGGTAATAAATTAATGTATCAAAGTCCGTTACATTGACCAGATACGGCAGATTTTAATGGCAATTCAATAAATTAACTTTTGACTGGAGATTAGCATAAATATTATAAAATCTCTATCATTGATCAAGTTCACTAAGGTCAATCGTAATGGCAGAGTCGAGAAATTATGCCCTATACAAATTGTTTCAAAACCTGTTTCTAAAGTGCGACGTTATTTTAATCTGACGTTTCTATGACGTAGTTCACTATTATTGATGTGATATATTGAAATTTTTTAAAGTATCTAATCATCGTAATTGACGTCACTTCTGACCAACACTTGCTCAATTATGGCCAATGTTTGATTATCTTTTAGAGCTCTCAAAAAGAGATTTTCAGCCCGCCGTTGGGCCGTCACTGCAGTCAATTTGTTATAGTATTGTATTTTGAACCTCTGGAGGATAGTTCTTTTAACATCGACATTGATTCTGAGATATGTCACTATAATGTTAAAACTTATAATGTACAAACTTTTGCAATTTTTAACTAATAAATGTCACGAATGTGGGATAGTTTAAAATACTGAACGAAATTCCAACACTAGAAATATTTTGAAATTAAATGCTACAGAACCATCTTATAAAAATAAAATTATACATAACTAAAAACAAGATTATTGCTGTTCTGTATTATTTCGTAATATAATCTGAAATTACAACAGGACACTTGATATATTCCAACAAATATCAGACTATTTCGTAATTGAGAATGTTGTATAAATTCAGCCAATATATTGCAGCGGCATCTGATATTAAATACACAGTTCATATCTCAACATTTTCAATCTTATCTCTTACTAATTTCCCACAAACGTGATCCCTAGGGAACTCTTTATTTGGATATCAATTCATATCATGATAGTAAACAATGGTTAGTTAGTTAGTAAACGTTTTAAATCCCTCTACAAATTTCCACTCCCATTTTCATCTCTTTATTTGCTTTTTTTGGGATAATACGAGTATATAGCCTACGTTCACCGTTTATGACGTCCTTTAGGTAAAAGAATTTTTAAAATCGGCAAGCAAACAAACAATCTATTCTTTCTTCTTTATAATATTAGTTTAGATGTGGTATTTTCTTACTTAATAAAGCAACTACAAAGTTCCTGGATTTGTGATATGGTTTTATCACTTATAGTAGGGGAGCCCACGATGACCGGCTGGACGCTCCCTGTTCGTCTGCCCCTCGGGGCTGACACAGGGAGTGATGAGGCTGGTCTTCTGTGGCGCATCGACCTACAGGGGGGGGATCCACGATAAGGGCTATGCCTCTATGGATCCTCCCAACACGATGAGTAGGGGACCGGAGATTGCACAGTTGCGCATCTCTGGTCTCTAGTCGGGGGCAGCTGACCGGTTCGCGCACCGGTCGGCATTGCACGCTCCTGCCTCGTCGTGGGGGTGCGTCTCGAATGTCTCTGAGGCGTACCCCCAACCCGAGTGGGACCTGCCCTTTTCAGGGCGGGCCGAAATGGGGGCGAACCGCGCGGTGTATGGCCTTCGGGCCGATCCCGCGCATCGCCTACCATAAGAGGGACATCGCTGAGTTTTAGTGGGTAAACTTCTGTTTTTTGTCTAACCCCTTCGGGGATGGGGCCACAAGAGCAGCCCCACATCACCCGTAGAGCCCGCGCAGGGTGAAGCGGGTATGCGTAACGCATTTCTCAGCGACAAAAAAAAAAAAAAAAAAAAAGGGGAGCCCACGATGCTAAATCGGGATTTACTCGAGCGTCATAGAGACCTATTGGGTTGCGAAGCTTAGATGATAACAAAAAAAAATTTTCATATAATATATACCTTTTCATCGGTGGGGGAAGCGGCTATAGATTTTTAAAAATGTAAATAAAAACTGTTGTATGGACATACTCGAGCGCGTCAGATATTAATATCATCCATGTCCTACGCATTTTTAAATACTGTCGTATGTTAATCTGATCGTTTCCATGATGGGGGTGGTTATACGTAAGGGTTGAAAATGAAAAAAAAAATTTAATCGAGCGCGTCAGATTTTTTGAGGGGATGTCAAGTGAACCTAAAAAAAAGCTCTCATATAATAATCTGACGATTTGGATGTGACGCAAACGCGTGACCATTATTAGAATGTGCAAAAAAAATCGCCATTTTGAAATACTCAAGCGCATCAGATTAAGATATACATGTATTGTTCATCTTTATGCCCCAGACGTGATATCTCATAATCTGACGATTATCTGAAGGGATTTACTTAAACTGACACAAAATGTTTTTATTTTTCAAATCATTGAGCTTAATTAAATAGAAAAGTACCGGAGTTAGCATGCAAATAAAAAAGTGTATGTTTTTTTTATGTAAAATACTTATATTTATAAGAAAATGACTATATGAAAATTTAATTTTTACAGTATTTTTTATTAATTATTATCTTCATCGCTAGAATCATTTTCCTCTTCTTCTCTTAGTAAATATGTAAAAAGTTTAATTCACAAAATTTACATTAAAATAACAAAATAAGCAAAAACGTTGGAAATACGATGTAAACAATATCACGCCACGAACGAGTCTGTGTCATCAGCTGTCATGGCGTCATGGCAACCGAAACCAGAGTGGGGACGGAATGAGAGAGTAATAAAGAGAAATAGTGATGCGGAGAAGGAAATATAGGTATCACGTAGCTGCACGTATTAAATCTTATCGATGAAGTTTTATTACTTCGGCTTGTGACAATCGTCAGATTATATATTTTTCGTAATCCTTGAATGACTCCCTTCAAAATAAAAAAAAATTAGCCACGCTCGAGAATGTCAAAGTGACTTTTTTTTTTACAAATTTGTAGCCTTCCCCCTTCTTTACGTCACTTTCAAATTGTCAGATTAGAGGTATGTACACATTTTAGCATGTAACTAGCTCACCTTACCTTAATCTGACGCGCTCGAGATTTTCAGATGATCAATTTTTTTTTACTAATCTGATCCTTCGTCCTTGCCGGGCGGCTATTTTTATAGGGCTCATACTTGGTCCAGGTACTTAACTGGGTACAAGGTATCCCCCTATATATTAATCTGCCGCGCTTTAGTAAATCCCGAAATCCCCGCTTGGGCTCCCCTACTATTACTATGCTTACGCGCAGACAAGTCGTGATTAGTTTTCATAGCGATATTAGGCAATATCAACTTGATATTGGTGCCAATTCTGTTGTACCACCCTATTAATAGACTTAACTAAAAATACACCTTTATATAACACACAACTTACATATATGTCATCAAATATAAACAATAATACACCTAAATAATGCAATATTTTTACTTCTGTTATCTCACTTATTTTTACAATTGAAAACTAGTTGTTTTAGAGGATAAAACCTCAATTTTGAAAATGAACCTACAGGCGTTTTGAACTCTTTTTTAAGACGTCTTAAATTACATATAAGGATGTCGGAAAAAATTAAGCCGATCGAAAGCTTTCCTCGAAAAAGATGCCAAAAATTTTTGATTTATTACAAAACATTGTATGGTGGAATTGTACCTCTTTAATAGATCTACAAAAAAATCCGCGGTGGTAAATCTCAATAACCACTTTTTACGTATAATTAAAACAGTAAAATAATGTGTTATCTACGAACCTATTTTTAACAAAACAGTATTAATGTTTATTTAAATAAATAAGTTATACATTATGCATGTTAAGAAGATCAAAATTGCCTTTTACACTTTATCAAAAAAAAATCATAACTAATGAGTTATTGAAAAATAAGAAAATGTCCTGGTGAACTATTAAATATCCATGAATAAAAATGAATCGCCGAAACGCGCATAATTTCCGAATTCCAGTTCCGACTGCACCAAATTGAATGATTCTATTTTTTGTGTTCCACGATTCATGACACGGTTTGTATGTAGGATTTTTTTTAAAAAACGGGTATAAGGCGGTACCAAATTCGCCGGGTCAGCTAGTTCTACATAAAATTTAAAATCATAAGTACATATGACTCCAGCTACAAATAGTATATATCGACGCTGGAAAGTAAAGAATGGCCAGACGATTACGGCAGAAGTCTACTGTAAGCAATTGTAAACCATGCTGGAAAAAACTAGCTGCTAAACACTGAGGCTGGTCAATCGCTCTATACCACTGCTACTTCACGACAACGCTAGACCACTGCACAATAGACGGCTACCAAATTAGGAGAGCTTCAATTGGAATGTTTAAGATATCCACCGTACTCCCCGGACGTTGCTCCAACAGATTACTATTTTTTCGAAATTTGGATAACCTCTTGCATGGGAAAAAATTCAACTACGACGGGGCAGTGCAAATCGCCTTCATAGATTTTATTGATTCCCGTCCGAATGGTTTATTTAGTAAGAGGATCAATGAACTAAGTTTGAGATGGCAAAAGTGCATAGATAACAATGGTTTATAGTGTGATTAAATAAATATATTATATTAAAAAATATTCGACATTTTGTTCCTCGCATACCAAATACCATTCATATGTAAGGACACAGAGTTTACCACCAGTTGAGTTATATTTATAGAAAACTAGCTGTGAATTATAAGCTTATGTCACCCGCGAATAATGTAGCTAAGAATTCATGAAAGAATTTTAAAAACTGTCCCCTTGTTTCGGAGCCTCTTATAATATCAGTATAGATTATAAGCTGTTGATTTTATTCCAATTGCATTTTCTTTTAGAATCTACGATATTTTCGGGACGTCAGACCGCGATTTGGTAAAGGAAGATTTGTTGCAACTGAAATTTCTCGAAAGGGTAGTAAAGGAGACGCTGAGACTCTTCCCTCCTGTACCTTTCATCATAAGGAAAATCGAAGAAAATGTTACATTGCGTAAGTACTTCCTTATTATGTAAAATAAGCAAAAGAGATTGTCTGGGTAAAAAAAAAATATAATGATAAGGTTTCTAATTATAATTATAAATTATATCATATTAGATAATAGAAAAATATTAACGTATTTTTTTTTACTCAATTTAACAAGTAATAACATAGATAACAGTGTGTGTGCCTATTATGTTACAATAGTTTAAATAATAGTGTAATAGGCTGGTGATGATGACATACGAATATAGTCTTGAAACTGCAGAAAAAACAAAACCTATTAAAACAAAAATGACGCGGACCCTTTGAATATAACTGACTAATAATTGATTCACATTGTCGTTTTTCATTGCAGCGTCCGGTAAAGTGTTGCCAGCGGGTTCTGGCCTGGTAATTTCCATATGGGGCATTCATCGGGATCCAAAGTACTGGGGACCGGACGCCGAGAAGTTCGACCCCGACCGATTCTCGCCGGAGAGGCTCAACCTGAAACATGTGTGCAGTTTCATGCCGTTCAGTCAAGGACCCAGAAACTGTCTCGGTAATTCAACCTAATAGCTCTTATTCGCACACTAATAACTGTTGATCTACATTGACTGATAGGACCCATATGTCTATCATCCCACATGCGGGCCCCATCCAACAATATATATAAATTTATTTCTATCCAATATCCAATAACTCGGTAGCGTAGTAAATAAGCACCACCGCACGCGATCGTTATTGTTAAGCAACTTTCACAAAGGTCGATTACGGGATGGATAAATAAAAATTATTATTTCAAGAGTAATAGACTCTTACTTCTTGCTTCATTAAGCCGTTGGTCCCGGCTGCATTTGCAGTCGTTAGTACCCTCCAATCCGCATTAGGACAGAGTGGAGGATCATGGCCCATCCTCCTTAACCATCGATAAGGAAGGCCTGAGCCCCCGTAGTGGGGACGTAAAAGGGCTGATGTTAATGATCCAATAATCATACAGCCTACTAATTTAATCTACTATAATATAGACAGATAAATGATAAGGGCTCTGACTCTGTGAGTCAGTAGAGCAGTAGCTCCTAAAATTAATTGGGCTCTGACCCATTAAATAAAAAACTTTTCAAAACAGCACTAGATACTTTTCTTGCATTCATTTTTCTTGGACAAATGAGATCTTGAATAATAATGAGAAACATTATAAGTAAACCCATAAATACTCACTTCAATTGCTTCAAATAATTAATTTAAATTTAATGGTACGGTTCTTATGTAAAATATCTTGGGTTTTTTATAATTATTTTAAATGAATGGATTGTTGCAGTAGAATTCCTTGTAATTGTAATTATCTTAATTAAACGAACAGCAAAGTCATACGTCCGCCATTCATATTACACTTAATTGTTGTTATATTCTTGTGTTCGTTAGCAATGAATGCCTTTATAAAAATCTAAGGCAAGATATCCCTTTTAAAGATATAGCAATTGTCGCAATCGCTTAAGGAACGAATGATGATTTGAATGATTAAAAAACTTTTTATAAAAAAAAATGGTACCGACTTCAAATTTAAAAAGTGCAAAATAATACTTATCTAACAAGTGGTTAAAGTTTTTAAGAAACATTGGAGTCGGGCGGTTAGTATTTAATTAACTACAGAAAAACTCAGTTTCCAATTTTTCAATTCCATTTTCAATGATTTTAATAAAAAGTTTTTATTACATGCATTTTATTGACATTTTGAGTTTTGGAGTAACAAACATCACGCATACTTAATGCAAATTTAAGACTTTTATGGTTTTCTCATAGACACCATTGCCAGATCTGGACCAAATCACCACACGGCAAGCACTAGCTTTTAAATAAAGAAGGAACCATTAAATTCGGTCCACCCAGTAAAAAGTTATGAGGTAACAAACAAAAAAAAAATAGTCTAATTGAAAACCTTCTCCTTTTTTTAAAGTCGATTAAAAACATAAATAATAAACGGAATAACTTCGGATTGTTTACAGTATTCTCAGAGGTATAATCTAACAACTTATCTATTTAAAATTTTATTATTTAAAACACAGAATTCACATTTACTTTTGACATATCGTAAAAATGTGTTCATTTTTTCTTATTTTTTTTTCCTTTTTTTTCAATTTACCTTTAATTTATTCCATTTTTTTCTTTGTTTTTATACTATTTATGTCTTTTCTCAACAAAAAGCACACAGTTTTGCTATAATTTATTAAAATAACAATAAATCCAGTCGGCCATTCGATCTCTTTTTTCCACTCGATAAAATTCAATTAACGATAACATTACTTTTTACCTCTGAAAGTGTTTTGATTTTTATTAGGTTACAGTCCTTGTACGTTCAACTAGCCCATAGACAAATTTTACAAAGAAATATTACCCCAAACCAAAGTTATGAGCAAAACAACCAGCATGCGTGTACCGTGTTTCATGATAACACGAGCTGCACAGTGCACACCACGGGTAGTAGTAATATGTGCGTCCAACGCATGCCTTAGACCAGTTATTCTCAACCACTATGCCGCGGCACTTTTGTGTGCCGCCAAATTTTGCAAATATATAATAATGTCAATATTAATCAATTATGTCATTTAAAAAGAAAAATATTTTTAACATGAATATATATTTAAATCCACAAAAATAAATTATTTTATTATTTGCTTTGCAGCGCGTTTTTTCTTAGGGCCAAATTATGATGAAGCGGCGTGCATAGCAATAGGAATATGTTTCAAGTCGGCGCACACTTGCCACTTCTGCGTACAAAACGTGTTGTTTTAGTGATAGTTGGGATTCACAAGGTGTTGCATAGTAGTTACTGCACCTGTTCTTTCGTTAAAATTGGCAAATGTATGTGATTCGGTTTGATATTAATTTATTTGCATGTAGTGTCAATTTATTAATTTGTAAAATTTGTAAACAAAAAAAGCTTTAAACATATTATTATAATTTTCCACATCTTATTTGCGTGAATTCGGATTTTCAGCATTAGCCAACATTAAAACTTAAAAAAAGATCAAGATTGTTAAATGTCATTTTTACGACCAAATATAAATGAAATTATCAAAAATAATCAAGCTCAAATTTCGCATTAAAAATATTTTTATTATTAGCTTGTAATTAATCCCTTAATAAACGTTTAGTTATTATTGTAGTATATATTAGTTTATTTCGTATATTTAAATTTTTTGTCATAAACTATTATGCAGTGTGTTGTAGTAAGTAAATAATTTTTATCTTTTTCATTGTGTGCCGCCAAATTTTGAAATCATTAAATATGTGCCGCAACAAAAAAAAAGGCTGAGAATCACTGCCTTAGACAAATCCAAATATCATCAAATTAACGATAAAAACGTAGCGATCACTGTTGTAGCGTAAGTTCGTTAATATCATTCAGATAATGATCTAATTGAAACGAATTACGATAGATTTCAAAATTAGACAATTAACCCTCAGATTAGGTCATCATAATTTAGCCGCGTAATAATAATTTATTTTCTTTTTGCAGGTTACCAATACGCTTTGATGTCTATCAAGACTGCTGTATCATCGATCGTGAGAAAATTCGTAGTAGTTCCTGACCCACAGAATAGTGATGAGCCCAAAATTAGAGTGAAATTAGACGTTATGATGAAAGATGTTGACGGCTACCAGATAGCTTTAGAGAGGAGGATACCACCGTCTACCACCACCGTAATAACAAACTAAAATTACCAACACATTTAATAGGTTCATAATGTATTTTATATATAAATTCCTACAAAATTATTTTTTTGGTATTAGTGCATAAAACAACGTTTTTCTATGAGAGATTTATTAAAATGATTTATATTTGAGGACCTAATAGTTCACATGAAGATAATGGTAGCTCATCTAATATAACCTTTTGAGGGTGATATTTGGAGACAAAGCCAAATTTCCAATAGAAATCTTCTGCAAATCATATTGACAGTATTCAAGTAGGAACCTTATTAGAGTCTCAAACAGTACCTATATACTTGACATTAAGGCCGCCATTTGTTTTTTTTTATTTTATTTATTTATTCATGCACAAAAAGATTTACATTGGCGGACACACATGTACTTTATATGTAACTGTTGCATATCTTAATGTTCTTTAGCACTAACCTTTCGCTTAACTTTCCAATTTTAAAATCTATTGCAGTCTCTTTTAAATATATAGCGATTGTCAGTCATGTATTTTATACCATTTAGATATTCCACACAAATGCTTTACAGGGATATTGAATTTTTAACAGTGCGAAAATTATACATAGTTCATTCTATTTTAAAATTACACAAAAGAATGGAATACAACGGTGATTTCACTAAGGATCGAAGAAATAAAAGAGTTATAAATCAAAATAAAATTAGAACATCATTTGCTGCCAATCAATATAATCAACAATCTGCTCATATTTATAACCATATAAATAAATTTTTAAATATCTATCCTCTTAATTATTTTAATTATAAAGAAAAACTAATAAACTGGATTAGATCTCTTTGACTATGAAAAGACAGAATTATTACTAAAACACATTTGAAACATCAAACTGGTTATAGGGTGAACAATATGTAATACAATAAAAATATTAAAACTTCAACAACTTGTAATTTGTACCAAACACACATGACACTACCACACAACAATACTCAAAACTACCGGCATAAACATATGTTACTAACCTACCTGCATGCTTTATAAATATTTTATAGAATTATTGAAACGCTGATGTTTTTTTTTTTGCTTTTTATTTTTAAAGGTTTGAAATAATTTATATTTAATTGTAAAATAATATGTATTACAGCTATAGAATAATATTTTATCTGTGGGGAGATCCTGGTGACCTGACACACAGGTTTCTACTGAAACCAATTTCGGGCTCCAGACTCTCACAAAATTAAGATACTAAATGTTTTTAAGAATCTTAAGACTCACATGTATGTACATAATTTTGTGTTGAGAGAATAAATGATTATTATTATTATTATTATTATAGAAGAGCAATGTCTCTTGATACAGATACTTATTATCTTAAAAGAGACATTGTTAACGGTATTGGTAAAGCTACATTTTGTGTGAAATAAAGCCATTTATTATTATTTATTTATTATTATTATTTATTATTGTGATGGAGATTTATGGAGTTATGTAACTTTTAAAGTTGCAATCGCTTTAGGATTCAATGATAGTTTCAATGATCAAGAAACCTAATAAAAACTTAGTTAAACCGTAACTTTCAGTGACATTTTCTTAAGATTAACGCCAACTAACGATATTGTTCATTCGAAGTGAAATTCGTGAATGTCTTTTAAATGTAAAATTGAAAGGGATTGTGAATGATTTTAAAATAAAACAAGTCTATTCACGTTACAGTAACTTTCATAATAATAGGTTAAGAAGAAAGAATCAATTTTATCTGTCAATGACTTTCCAACACTATTCAAAGCTCTGAACGACATTTTAATATCTAATCACAGTTTATATTTGATATATTTTTCATAAAATTAAACTTTCATATAAGCTTCAAAAAAATAAAAGTACTCCATTAAAGTGTAAAATTAAGAGATTATTAATTTATACCTTAAATTTGTGGTTGTTTTATAAATTTATTGTAGGGTCGGTGTGACCAAAAAATGTTGGTTGGCAGAAAAGCTTCTGATTTTTTTTCACATACCCGTGATTGCAAAAAATGAGCGAAGCAAGAGACTAAATAGGCATTTTAAGGCCCATATGCCGCTTAATTTTTATTACAAGATTGTCCTTTCCAACAAATGTTGTACCTATATCAAAATTTTATATATTTCATGAATAGCATGCAACTAGTAGGAGTTTTAATTGTATGAAGGATTAAAGAGGTTGTGAGATATCTGTAAATTTGTAGTTGATCATCGACTTTCGTATAAACAAATTAGTTAATACGAAAATTGAAAGTGAAGTGGGAATTATATTTATACCGTGCCGTTTCTTACAATTGCTCTATAATCATGATTGGGCTAATATTTTTAGTATCATACTAAACATATAAAAAAAATCTACGCGGCCCCAACCCGCGGGGATGGCCTTAATGAAAAAAACAGCTTAAATTAAAAAAGTCAAATATGATTACTCACGATTATTCAAGACTAAGAAAAGCATAGTTACAATCAATTACAAATTTGAGATTTATTAAATTTTCCTTATAAATTTATGGAAAACTACTACTCGTTACAATTTCATAGGAATTTCCTTATGGCTTACGGTTAACACTCAAAAGTGATGATTGAAATATTTTTTGTTCCTATTCTGCTAAATTAAAAATACACTTTATATCATAAAGTAACTAATTAGGACTGTATAAGAACAGGTAAAGTGTTGAGATAATTTTAAATGTATTTATTATTATTTATTTGTAACAATTGGTGCCAATTAAATGCAATACTTTGGGAATGGTTTGGTTGAAAGCAAATAAAAGACTGTAAGATAATAAATGTATGTTTGATTTTTCACTCCAATATATTGTTACCGACCGCCTAACTCTCTCGTCATTATATCCATAGGATACGATATCTCAGCGATGTTATGACGATATTTCGTTTAAGTTATTACTTAAACATATATTACGCCTCGGTAGAGAGCATAGACGAACAACCGGGTGGAGATAAGTTCCCTTGACGGTTCTGACAGTAACTGCACGAATTCAGAATGTCATTCAAGGAGCGACCAAAGCTAGATTTGCAGATGGCATCCAGCACGATGCGTAGGCGAGTTGGCGTCTTATCCTCACGTACGACCCCATGGTACAGTATTACATATACAGGAACATGGTCGTCAGACCCGTAATGAGGCACGGAAGAAACATAATCTTTGTTAATATAGTCTTTAATGACATCATCATACGCCAACCTTAAATGAGGTGAAGCTTCTAGATTTCTTTCAAGGCACATGAAATGTTTGCGAGCAATATCATACGAATCGCCCAAAAATATACATTCTCGTTGAATGGCAGTCCGACAACGTATCTGCCAGAAACGGGAGATTTATAAAACTCCTTGCATTCATCAACGACAGAATGCTGAGCACGCTGAGTAGAGGGAGGCTCCTCGAGCTCCCAGAAGCGCCTGATTAAAGAATCAATAGCGTCAGGTTCCTGAGCTAGGCAACATATCAGGATAGGATGAATTTGATAAGTAGGTATAATAGGTGCAATACCTATCACCAAAAATCCCAAAACTGTATTGAGGATGGCTGGAGCCGATGAGTCACGCAGTAATACTTACTACACCTGGGAGTAAAAGATGTGTAAAGAGCGAAGCACCGATTAGAATGTCTATCTTATTTGGCATTTCAAAGCTTTCGTCTGCGAGTGGCAATCCAGATAGGTAGGGTAGGCAAGACTGATCGATCTATCACACCTGTAGCCAACAAGTCAGTTACCTGGTCAACAACGAGAGACAATATATTAAATCCACAGAACATAGAGAGAGAATAGAAGTAGTAAGTGGGCGGGGCACGCGTCGCTGGCATATGCGCTTTTACTCATATGACGCCCTTTCCTCGGTTTTATGTTTGCCAGTCGTTCGTCAATCGTCGAGTGGTGATTTTACAGATTATTTCTATAAAAAATGCCGTTTTGTGCTATTATCACTTGCAAAAAGCAAAGCAAAGTATACAATCTAACTAATGCAAACATTTCCTTTCACTGGTAAGTACAATTTTAGTGCTAAAATATAAAAAACGTAATAATTTGACACAATGTTAAATAAAATATACATTGATTGCTCAAACCAACATCAATTTTTCTGACCCCATTACTAAACAGCAATGTAAATCATTTTGTGCACTTTTGCAAAAAATAGTGCTGTGCCTCCATTTGTCTGAAATGTACCGATAGGCTGCTGCTGCTCGGAATCGTATTGTTAATTATATGGATCGTAATCGATAACTAAAACATATTTATTTAGAGCTTTTCTTTCATCATTTCATAACAACGTTATCGATTAATATATGCCATAATTATATAAAACTAAAAAATACTCTTTACAAGGGAAAATTATAGATGAACTGATACTGAACAAATGAAATAATGAACTGTCCAGGCACTTTTTTTACGAAGATTCGGTTAATTATTTACACGCAGATAAATATTAAAAATTACTGATGTGCTATAAATATCTAAGTTACGAAGTATATCACCGTTTTATGAACAATACATAAATTAAACGAAACTTCGTGAAAAGCTAAGAGTTGGCCTAATAGGTCTTGTTAGAAACTGGTGAAACTGGATTTCACTTATTTTGCATTACTTATATTTCAGTTTCCCTAATAACTTTACAACGAATTGCCTTGTTTACATAATTAATTTTGCCCTATCTGTTTTAGACCTAAACCTATCAAATGAATTTCAAAACAACATAATATCTATACAAACAAAAAATTATGTTTTCAATTAACATAATATTGTTGGTGGTGTGAATTTAATTTACAAAATTAATTTTTAGGCGTCAGTTTAATTTACCTTATTATGCTGATTCATAATCGGAAACTATTATTATAGAAATCGAGTTAAGAAAGCCACTTTAAAGAACCGCCTACAGATCAGCTTTTATCAGTTTTTTTGTTGCTCCATATTTGCACATAAGTTTATAGACGCATGTCTCAAACGGATGTGACTTTATATGTAGATTGACGTTTGTATGTACTTATCGCTTTTGTGTCTATCTTCAAACTTTTTTTGTCACGGCTTTCAAACTCATACTTGACCAGCAATTCCTTATTGTCCAGTCGTTGCAATTAATAATGTAGCTACTACTATTATTACAGATATAAAACTTAGAATAATAAAGTAAAACAAACATAGCTATGATCAATTTATTAGTGGAATGATCATATTAGTTATTATGAAATGAAATGAAAATATTTTTATTCAAGAAGGCTATTACAAGCACTTGGAATGGCAAGTTTATATTTATTTCTACTTTTTTTTGTGAAGGAATCGTAATGTTTTCTTGCGTACATAATATTTTCATTGATGTATTGAGAGGCAACAGTCAAAATATTTATTTCTTTAAATATTTCTCTGAGAGATTCTCTAGACCGTAAATTATATATAGCGTGGACAGCTCTCTTTTGTAGAATAATAATGCTAGCCGCAGAACCCCATAACAATAGATAATACGTCATTCATTACACTATGAAAA